CTTAGTAAAGATTCGGAGAAGACCAGGTAAGGCAGTGCGCACGCAGCTCCGGGGATGTGTCCTCATGCGGAGCCTGTCTTCATTGCAGTGTTATGCTATCATTTAGGCACGTGGCGGTTGGGGGTTGGCTCTGTGAACACTGCCCTGGGCTCCCCAGCCTCCCATCAGGGGAGCCTATAGACACATACCTTCCCTGAGCTGCTCCCCAAAACCAAGCTCACAGAGGTTGGCCGCCTCGTAGCTGGTACAAGGTGCTGGGGACCCAGGTACTTCAGCTGGGCTGCCACCCCCAGAGGCAGCGAGTCCTTGAGGGAGCGGACAATTGACCTTCACTTCATACTCTGCACAGTGCCTGGCCCAGGGCGTTTAATGGTAGAACAGATGGACGGAGGACGGATGGCCCTGTCCGTGATCGGAGGCGGGTAAGACTCGCTCAAGCCCAGACTGTCCCCACCCGCTGTGAGATGCTCCCTCTCGCCACCCCTCAAAGGCCGGAGGCTCAGCTTTGTCTCATGTCCTTGGCACTTTGGCACCTGGCACTGGAGAGTTTCTAGAAGGACAAGCACAGGCCGTTGGGACCCCTTCCTCTGACAACGGCTCTCATGGACTTTCTGGGAACATGGCCGTCCTGCAAGGGGCTGACTCCAGGGCCATGTCCCTGAGAGCACGGACGGACACCTTCTCCTCTACAGCACACCCCTGCACCCACAGCTCTGCTTCCGCGGGTCAGTTACCCGGGTCGACTGCAGCCTGGAAGCAGATGGCCCTCCTGGCACATGGTCAGGCCGGTGGTGCCCACGGCCACATCACAGTGCCTATGTCCTCCACCTCACTCCATCCCATCCCGCAGGCATCCTGTCATCCCCCACATCATCACAAGAACAGGGGAGGACATACAATATTTTGAGAGACCACATTCATGTAACTTAGTATATTATTCCTATTCTATTTTATTAGTTGTTGCTAATCTGTTACAGTGTCTAATCTATGTATTAACTTTACCATAGGTGTGTATGCATAGAAGGAAACTTATGCTCTATAGGGGTCTGTACTGTCATCCACGTGGTTTCAGGCATCTGCCAGGGATCTTGGAACACATGCACTACAGACAAGGGGGCCTAGTGCATGTGCAGTAGCAACAGGGCAGAGGGGAGGAGCCCCGGCCACGGAGCCAGCAGACGTGAGCCATGACCTCAGTGTGCTGTGTGTGGCTTTATCTAAGGCCCTGGAGGCTGGAATGGAATGGTGTCTCCAGAACTCTTGGCCAGGCTAGAAACTGGAAGTGCCAGGGTTCAAACTCTGATTTTCTGAGGCCAGGGTGCCCATCTGTGAGCCCCCAGGATGCCCTCTGAGACTGCCTTCTGCATCTGGCCTGTCCTCCAGTCAAGCTTCTCTGCCTGTTTTCTGGGCCCTTCAGGGTGCCCAGGGCTGTTGGCTGGGCTGAACGGGGGAGGCTGGGACAGGAAGGCACAGGCACATCTTCTGTTGGTGAACTTTGTGCAGTTTGTCTCTTTCTGGTCTCTATCATCTCAAACCAAACTTACAGAAAATCCACCTTAACAAGTTGGAGGCAGCCTGGGGTTGGATGTAGAACCAGGTAAAAGAAATGGCATCACCTCGGCCAAGGTCTTCCCCAACCCCATCAAACAGAGGCACTGCTGGTGTTGGCCTCTGGCCTCCCAGCTCCACAGACACACAGACATGTGTGTCCCCAGGCCCGCCAGCCCATCCCCGACATTCAAGACACTCAGAATGCACACTCAGTATCTATAGATGGTAAATGACTTACATGTCCCAAAAACAAGACGGTGCACAACAGGGGCCTTTGTAATCTAGCGATTTGTATTTCAACTCCAGCTTTATAAACTACCAACTGCAAGACCTGTGTCTGTGCTCCACGGTCCACAGAGCAGTCATAACAGGAAGGCTAAGACACTGCTGCAGAGGACTTAACACATGCCAGGCATTGTGCGAAGCTCTCTATCTGCATGGTTTATTTTAATCATCAAAACAATCCTATAACATGGGGTTGGATAATCCATTCCCCACCACAACCATTTCTGATATATAAAGAGACTCAGATGAGAGGGTCAGGTATTCCCTAAAGGTCACACAGCCAGTAATGCATGTACATTTTCTCATTCAATTCTCACCACAGTTCTGCGGAGTTCTCCTTGGAGAGGCAGAAACCAAAGCTTAGAAAGTTGACCTGATTCACCTAAAGGTAGTAGTAGTGAGACTGAATTTTGAGAATTATTCAATTTGACTCCAAAATTCTATCTTTCCATCACTTCAAGATCTCTCAAAGAAACACACACATGCTCAGAGGAAGGTGTCTAGCTCTGTGGAAATGGCTTATTTACTGGGAAGATTGTGTCTGACAAGGACCCAGAAGGAGGTAGATCCCCTACTGGGACAAGCCACGGTGCCACGTATGAAGTGGGGAGTTAGCAATGCCTGCCTCCTGGTCCCACGAGGAGCGTATGAGACGGAGCCACTCAAGGGCACAGGCGGCACCTGCACCGCTTCCCGCTCCGGCCTTCGCGCGTCATGTACGATGTGAGGAGGAGGTTCCGGTGAACTCCCAGCAGGGATGCTGGCAGCCTGCATCCTTGCTTTTAATCTTTCCATTTTGAAGCAATTTTAGACTTATAGAAGAGCTGTCCCAGTGGCACGGAGGACTCAGCAGGCCCTCCACGCAGCTCCCCTCGCGTCGGCCTTCTTGGCTCTGGCACCGTTACCATTTCTGTATGAAACCAAAGCTTGTTTGGAATTCACCAGTTTCCTCACCAATGCCCGTTTTCTGTTCCAGGATGCAAACCAGGATACCACGTGGCATTTAGCCCTAATGTCTTTTGAAGTAAAGAGTTGAATGTCGTACTTTTTTAAGCATATGAGGATCTTAAGATTTTTGGGGTGGTGGAAAGCTGTGGAAGAACTTGTCCTATGGTAACAAGAGTGCCAGCCTTCCACTACGCCTGTGCTAGAGTTTCAGAGATCTAAAAGGACCACCCTGCATGGTGGCAAATGCCCAAATGAGATGTGGACGATGAAGCAAAACTCCACCCAGGCACTGGGATACTGAGGCTCAAGAATGGGAGCAAGATGGTTCCCTCAAAGGAACACCTGCTGAACTCTCTGCTGAGGGTGGTGGGGACGCTGGCTGGGGTTGGGAGTGAATGCCTGGAGCACCGGCCGGGCTGATCTCACCTTTCACAGGTATTGGGTGGGGCCTACTATGGGCCAGCATTGTTTTAGATGCTTGGGAATGTTGTTCTCTAGGGAGTTGAATGAGACAGCGTCCCTGCATTCGAGCAGACAGACACTGCCCGCCAAGCAGGTAGGGCCAAGTGCGCGTGAGGAAACAGAGCAGCCGGGGACTAGCGGAGGGGAGTGCTGGCTCAGAGGAGGAGGTCCGAGAAGCCTCCCTGGAGGGCAGGTGCCATGCAGACTGCCTGCTGCGAGCCACAGTCAGGACGGGTGGCTCTGTATGGACAGGGCCTTGGTCTCAGTTAGAGTCGGATTATGGGAACTGATACCCTGTCCACATGCCCGGCTGCAGATTCTCCCTGCTGTAACCTGCCTCCGTGGGATGGCTTTCCTGTCCCCTCCTCTCTGTCACGTGGCTTATCATTGGTAAGTTCATGAATTCAAACAAACAGCTATAATACAAGCTGCCATGCTGAAACATCTTCTTGAGATTTTTGGAGCCAGGTGCCCACGGCCAGAACACTGTTCCCTGAAGTCACCCATGCCCTGCTGGCTGTGCAAAGCCAACTTCCCCGAGTCCCAGATTCGCTAAGCCGGCCCGACCTCCCCGCGGTGGGGGGCGTTTGTTTCACGCTTAGGTTTGCTGAGAACCTCTGCGTGCTCCCCGGCAAGCCCACAGGAACGTCCCCACCAGCCTGCCAAGCGACTGTCACACCCTTTTTTTTTCTTTCCAGAATGAGAAACCAAACACCCAAGGCCACAGAGCTGAGAGGTGATGATTGAAACAGGAGCCGAGAGTCCAGGTCTCCCAATTCCCAGACCAGAGCTCCTCCCACCTCACCAAGCTCAGCCTCACTAGCTGCACGCACGGCATTCCATGTGGGTCCTACAGCCTGTGCCCACTCAGTGACACAGGACCCCCAAGGAACCTGGGGCACACCTGAGATGGCAAAATGCTGCCCAGGGGACCCAGGTCGAGCCTCGTGGAAGTGGTGGGGGCACCACTGCATGCACCCTTCAGGATCTGGCACCATGGCCACTCCGTTTGAAGACTGTGCTCCAGGTAGCGTGTGTCCCCAGCAGATTCCATGTACAGTGTCAGATCTGCGTTCCAGGCACATCCCTGCTTTGGAAATGACCCGGCAAACTCAGTTAGTTACACGAGGCAGCCAAGTTGCACAAAGCCATCAGCGGCTCTTCCCCAGCACAGACTGCAAGCCTGCAGCCAACGAGACGCAGTCACTGCTCCCCAGCCTCTGAGCAATTGCTTTCGTTCCAGATTTTTCACAGAGCCTGGAGTCCAAACTCAAAGCAATAGTCATCTAAAAGAACCGCCTCTGGGGTAATTTAAAAAGAAGTCTAAAAAAAAGTCCTGGGGCAGCTGAGGCATGTTGTAAAGAAGCTGTTTTTCATGTCTGCATTCTTCACTCTGTGATTAGTGGTGGGGAGGCAGCGCGGTGGGCGACGGCAAGGAGCAACGACCCGACTGCGTGCCCCAAACCACGGGGGAAGGCGGGTGGGGGAGAGCGCGCCTGTCGGTGTCTGGCTTGACTCCCACTGGCCGAACAAAATCACGTTTTTATTTCCACACCCTTCCTCTCTGCTCTTCTTCAAATAGCCTGGGAGTTAATGACAAGCCAGACGCAGCTTGGCAAGTTCATGACTAAACATCATTCACCTTCTCTCCCTCGCAAGGATAAACACAAGGCATCAGCAGAATGCAAGAAAAATCCAAGTGCATTTTTCTGGGCCAAGCAGAGCTCAGAACATTGCAGCCGCGAGGACTTGCGGGGTCAGCCAGGGTGACCACTCATTGTTCAAATGAGGTGGGTGTCAAGAGAGCTGAGCCCCTGGCCCAGGTCACAGGGCAGGTTGTGCCCTGGGATACAAAACCAGGCCTCGTGGCGGAGAGCCCAGAGCTCTTCTTTGGGAATGTAAGGAATCATCTCTGAGCGCTGTTTTACTGTGGCTCTAAAAAGGGGTGTTAGGAGCTGTCCCGCTCATAAAGTGGGCCTCACCGGGGGCCCAGACAGGCAGGAGTAACAGGTCATTCCCACGCTCCGTGCCCGGCTGTGGGCCTGGCTCCAGACAACCTTCAGAGACCGTGTCTTTGAGGCGAGGCTGGGCTCTGAGTCAGCCTTCCGTCAGGGGCTGGGATAACTGCATCTGCTCCCCAGGGCAGCGGGCTGGGCCGGGAAGGCGCAGTCAAGGGCCCGCGTCCTTCTGACGGCCGTTTGAGCCCTTGGGTCCCCACCCCTGCAGAGGGGGCTTCTACCTGCTCATGCAGGCCCCCCCACCCAGGGAGAGGGGCTTCCGAGGCCCCGGGGCCCTGGCGGTGCCGGCTCTCTTGTAGCCCCCCCGCCCCCCGGACCTGAGACACCTGCTCTGCAATCAGGACTCACTGGTCCCGACCCCGGCTCCACCCTTTCCAGCAGAGGAGGCACTGGGCCCCAGCCTGCAGTCCGCCTGCCTGGGAAACGGCACGGGTTTGCTGTGAGCGGTGAGACAGCCACACGGGGCCCTCGGCATGGTGCTCGCACCGGGTACACACTCAACCAGGGGGGTGACGGCTTCCAGCACTCAGGGGGCCCCTCTGCCCCTCACGCCCTTCCCTCTCCTCTCCTGTCACCATCTGCCTGCTGGTCAAGTGACCCCTCAGAATTTTGTGTGTCACCTCCCAGCCCCTCCAGACCATATGCCTCCTGGAGCCCCCATGGTCCTCTCTCTACAGGTGCCAGAGCAGCAGCCTGCCCCCCAGGGCCTCCTCGGCATCCCCCCTCCTGCCCCCAGGTCTTCCTTGCCATGCCCCCTCCTGACCCCAGATCCTCGCCATGCCCCCTCCTGACCCTCCATCCGGCCGCTGTGAGTAACCAGCCTAGACCACCACTGTGGGGATGGGTCCTGAGCCAGCACAGGGCTGGGACAGTCACGCCAGGGCCAAGGGTACGTGTGGACCATGTCCGCGCCGCCGAGCGCAGCCCAGGCAGGTAGGAACAGCACGTCTTCCTAAAAGCCTTTCAGACACTGTTTTCCAGCAGGGGAACCCGTATGAAATCCAGACAGAGCCTCATAACTCAGAGACCACATCTAAGCAGGGCAGCAAGGAGCTTATTCAACTTCACTCCTTTTTGCCTAAATGTATTTGTCCCCTCTTCCCCGTTCACTTGCTCTAAATCAGTATTTTCCAAACTGTGGTCAAGGTCCAGTTGTTCATTTTTCCTAAACTGTTACAGACCAGTAAAGCAGTAAATACATATTCCTACAAAACTAAAATGCCGTTTGGATGTCACGACAATGTTAAATTGGTATGAAGTTTCCGAAACACTTCCAATCTCTGTTCTTATCTTTTGTAGGCTGGCATACATCTCCCAGACCCACACCAGTCCCTGGCCCAAACCGGAGGCAGCGCTGCCTCTGGAAGGAGCGGAACCACAGAGGAACCCGGCTGCTCTGGACACCCCCATGGGTGCTTGTGCTGTATGCGGGCCGCTCAGCACAGCCCTTCCAGGCCCAGAGCCGGCGAGGGCAGCGTCCTGGCCTTAGCGAGAGCTACTCCCTGAGGGCTGAGCCAACTCTGGGGAGGGACGTGCTGCCCTGTTCCCAGCCAGCGGGCAGGCTGCCCCTTACCATTCCATGCCAGCCCTGTTGATCTCCTCCCACCAGCACTCCGTGGGCTCCCCGAGGCTCTGGGGCGTGGGCATGCAGGCGTAGTTCCACTGTCTGTCCGAACCTTCCTTCTTGCTGAAGATGCTCCGCACGGCCACCACCACCTGCCCGTGGGGACACTGGTAGCTGAAGCCCTGCCGGTTCAGATTCACCCAGCCATCGTCGCTATAGTCGTGGTACTGCTGGTACGGATACCCGTAGTCGCCATACTGGCCCCAGGCCACAGTGACCAGGGGCAGAAGCAGCCACAGAACAGTGAGGTCCATGCTGCCTGGGCTTCTGGCAAGGAGTGTCCCTCTCCGCCGGCAGGGCTGATGGCTTTGGGCGGCTGCCGCCAGCATGTGGCTCCCAGATGTGGCCGAGGAGGCTCCAGCTGCAGTGTGTCATCATTTAAGCAGGAGTTTTCGGCGCGTACATACTGGCAGTAAGTCCATCCAGCTTGTTTTAAGGTGGAATTCTAGGAAAATGTAGGGAGCGTGCAAATGGAAGCCACTCCCCAGAGAAAGAACTGTGCAGATAAGTCAGAAAGATCAGCCCCTTGGCCCCTTGTGTCTCAGCCTCTGGCCTCTCCCTGAGCCCTCCCACCCCCCACTAGCCTTCCAGGACCACGTGGGTATCCAGAGAGTGATTTCCAAACCCCAAAATCCTCGGGTGCTGGGACGGAGTCATTGAGATCTCTGCATGCCTGGATGCCTGTTTCCTTAAAGTTCTCAGCCTGCCGACTTTTAACCCCAGGTGTAACCACAGCGTGCCCGGTGGGCAGGGCCGTCTGAGAACTCATAAGTCACACGTGGAAGTGCTCTAGGCCTCTGGAGAGATCAGCTGGTCATTGTCTCTACACGTAATCATCCATTTAAGCTGCTTAAATAGGATCCAGAGACACCTAGAAACTGTGCTTTACTCTCAAATACGTAATGAGTTCAAGTTGAGCAAAGCCACTTTTTAGCCTTTGGAGACTTTCCCCTTCACACAGAGTTTTCTTTTAATTGAGGTGTAATCTACATAAAATAAAATTCATCTTTTAAACTGTTCAGCATGCAGTCACGTAACCAGCCCCCTAATCATGACATAGAACAAGTCCCCCACCCACAAAGGCCCTTAGCCCCTTGGTAGTCAAATCTTCCCCCAAACCCAGCCCCTGGTGGCCCCGTCTGCTTCCTGTCACTATTTCCAGAAAGCCAAGTGAGTTGGGTCATATAATGAGCAGTCTTTTGTGTCTGACTCTTTCCCTTAGGGGTCTTTTGAGGCTCACCCATGTCATCATGTGGGAGGAGTTCGTTTCCTTGTTCCACCGAGTGGGGTTCTCCGGTGGGGCTGTGCTGCAGACTGCTTGTGAATTTACCCGGGGAAATACATCTGGGTTTTTTTCCAGTTTTTAGTAACTATGAATAAAGCTACTGTGAACATCCACGTACAGGTTTTTTTGTGAAAGTTTTTATTTCATCTGGGCAAACCCCTGGGAGTAGGATGACTGGATCCTAAGGTAAGTACGTGTATGTTTGATTTTCTAAGAAACTACTGGTACCTGCAGCGTCTGGACCACTGGACATCCCTGTAGAAAACTGCCATTAAAAAATATATTTTTTTGCCATCTTAATAGGTTAATTCTGGTGGAATTTCAGTGAGGTTTGGATGTGCATTTCCCTAATGACCAGTGATTTTGAGCATCTTTTCATGTGTTTTGTCCATATTGTTTATCTGTTCAAATCTTTTGAGCCCTTTGGGAGTCTCCTAAGCATGTACTATTTCCCAGTTTTCATCAGAGTTGTCCTTAAGGAAGTTTCTTAAAATTGTGGTTGTAGAATAATTATCTGTTTATCCCCTGATTATAAAAATGTGGACCCCTGGGCTCCAATCTGAACCTACTAAGTCATAACCTCACAGGAGATGCCCAGTTATCTACAATTAGAAAAAGTTTTCCAGGTGATTTTTATTCACACCAAAGCTTACAGGCCACTTTCTTAAAGGATGTGAAGCCAGCGAGAGAACCGCTCTAAGCCCCACCCCTTGCCCAACCTGTAGCACGTCACCGATGGCATTCAGGTGCGGCTAAATAGCAAGGCAACCTTGAGGGACAGTTACCCTGGGAAAGAAAGCAAATGTGAGTCTGTGTGTGTGTGTGTGTGTGTCTGCCTGTATGTGTCTGCCTGTGTGTGTCTGCCTCTGTGTGTGTGTGTGTGTGTCTGCATGTGTGTGTGTGTGTGTGTGTGTCTGCCTGTGTGTGTGTGTCTGCATGTGTGTGTGTCTGCCTTTGTGAGACTGTGTGTGTCTGCCTGTGTGTGTGTGTGTGTCTGCCTGTGTGTGTGTGTGTGTCTGCCTGTATGTGTCTGCCTGTGTGTGTCTGCCTCTCTGTGTGTGTGTGTGTGTGTCTGCCTGTGTGTGTGTGTCTGCATGTGTGTGTGTCTGCCTTTGTGAGACTGTGTGTGTCTGCCTGTGTGTCTGTGTATGTCTGCCTGTGTGTGTATGTGTTGGACACACACTTTGCTCTGATGATCATGGCTACCAAAGGGGGTGGGTGTGGCTCTGAGCTGAACAGGTGTCTGAGCCTCAGTTTTGCCTGGGGGCCACCCTCTCCTGTCACTTCTACCACTAAGTAACTCTCCCCAAGTGGCAGCTGGAATCCTCCCAGCTTAGCGAGCCTCCTTTGATTGGAGCTGGAGCGATGACCTTTCTCAACCTATCAGCACTTGAGAATTACCCAGGGAGCTTCTGAAGAACACAATGCATGAACCCCACCCCAGACTCAAGACATCAGAAGCTTCTGAGCAGGGCCCCAGGCCTTTAAGCCTTCCTGGGCGATTCCCATGTGCGGCCAAGGCCGAGAGCCCCTCACGGGCTTTTCGAATCGCTCCTCCTGAGGTTCGGGCATTATATCCTGCATTCTGTGTGACTTATGAGCGATCTTAAACCTTAGAGAGCTCCAGGAGGCAACGCAGATCGTTGTGAGCACTTACGTGCATGGTACACTCATTTTCCAACGATTTTCAGGCCCCGCCTGCTCCTGTTTCTGCAGGCCTCTCTCATCCTACAGCTCAGAGCTCCCGTGCCAGACTCCCAGCAACGTGTAAAAGTAAGCAACTTTATTGTTTAGGCCAGTTTGGGCGTAGATGCCGTTGCTTAGAGCTGAGAGCATCCCAGCTTATGCGGTGTCTCAGGGGAGGCCAGAAACTGCTGGGGGCTCACAGAGAGTGATTCCTCTGAGCAGACACGGCCCATGCCAAGTTTAATGCATTTACAGTTTGCCACGTGTTTTCAAGGAGGTTGTCCTATTTTCTTTCTCACAATCTTATGATATATATTAAAAGGCGTCATTAGGCTCCTTTTTCACAGATGAGAAAACTGGGGTCAGAAAATGTTCGGGCTCATATTCCTACAGCTGGAAGGCTCTGACCCTCTGGCCTTCTGATCGCTTTTCTCCCAGGTTCTAGAGCCATAGGCCAAGGTGCGCATCCACTCCCTGAGAATGTTTCTGGCTTTGTTTTCTTCCCTGTTTCTGGGTTGGCCGGCTAGGCTCCTCTGCCAGGTCCCCAGCTGCTGGTCTGGGCTGGGTGTGCCCGGCACCGTGGTACGTGGGCTGTGCTGGGGGCTTTGCCTGCTCTCTGGAGCCACTGCCTGCCTCCTGCTTGCATGCCGCCCGCACAGGCAGGGACAGGACAGAACCGAGGACTGCAGCCCAGCATCCTCCCAACCCTGTCAACAGCCTGGAGCTGAGCACGTTGCACACTGATGGCTTCTGTTTTCCATCACAGCTTTTAAAATGCTGCAGTATTAACCCCTACCAAAATAATGCGACTCTTCAACAGCGGGCTCACTTCTTCTGAACAGAATACACCGCGAATAAAATGGCAGCATTTCTGTGGGGTTGCCAAAGCCGTGCAGGGTGTGTGTGTGTGAGGTGGGCTGGGGTGGGGGTGTATGCACATATGTGCACACATACACACACATCCCTGCACTTACACATATGTGTACACACTTTCTTTTCATTTATCATGGAAATAAATGAGATGACACATGGAAAGTGCTTGAACAGAGCCTGATACTAAAAAAAAAAAATGTGTCACCATTTGCAAGATGGTGCCCTGAATACTCCCTGCCTCACTCTCTGCATCTCTCCTCCTTCCTTCACGGTGCCCTTGGAGATTTAAGGGCTGCACCAATGTGCTCTCCTGTCTGCTGGCCCCTGGTTGGCCTTGGCCAATAAGAGGCACCAGCAGGATGTGGAAAGATGAGAGGAGGGGCGTGGAAATAGCCCCCAGGCTCCCGCCTGCCTGCCAAGCGCCAGCTGGCAGTGGCTGGGTTTCTCTGCATGGGGCCTCAGCGGCTGCTGGCTGGCCCCTCTTCCAAGGTTAGGGAGCTTCTGTGACCTCAGCCTGCCACTCAGGCTGGTGGTGGCGCTCAGTGGCGTCCAGCCCCAGCGTCCCCAGGCCCCCCTTGCCCTCGCCCACACCGTTGTGCAGAGTTCGCCCCCTAATTCCCTCCAGGCGTCCCTCTTGTGTGGACGGCTGTTTGCTGCCTATGAGGGGTGACTGGCTAGCTTCAGTACAAGGAAAGCCTGAACCGGTGTGTGTCCCCAGCTGTGCGCCAGGCTTCCCCACTGGGCCGTGCAACCTGTCCCTGGAGCTCCCTGAGTGAGGGAGAAAGACACCTCAACCTGCCTACTCACCCCGCCATGAGTCCGGGCGCACACCCCTTACACTCTCTGTATTGCATGTCATCCCCATGGCCTCTGAGGGGCGCCCTGTCCCAGGTCTGTAAAGGGGATGACAGGTGCACAAGGAGAAATTTGCTCACTATCCTCCAGGTCTGTCAGAACACAGAGCCTGCGCCCTAAGCAAGAGGGAACTCTCACATCTGCCTCTGAATCACCCAGAAAGCTTGCAAACACTCGGGTTCCTGCTCCCCATTCCCAGGCTGCCACCGGTCTGGGAAGGACGTGGAACAGGGGCCCACGACAAGCATGCCACACGGTCTGCCTGGGAAGCTCGTCTCCTCACCGCTCCTGCAGAATGTTCCTATGTTAGACTCAGTGTAAGTCCAGGTCCTGGGGAAACCTCTTGACCTCTGGGGCTCAGACGAAGTCCTCATACCCCATCTCATGACACTATGGCACCTTCCTCATAGCCCTCTTAAGACACAACCTTACCTTGATTTTTGTAATTACCTGGCAGCATCTGACTTCCCCCTCTGGACTGTATGGTCCCTCAGGGCAAGTTCTCCCTGGACCGGCTGTTCTTTTTTCAGGGCATAATAGTTGCCTGGTACATAATAGTTGTTGAAAATATTCAACAAATATTTTCCAGATGTCTGTTGACTGAAGTCAGGAGACTGGACTAATGATCCTGAGGTTGCTTTGAGCCCTGCGACCCTGTGAGTACCGACCTTTAGGAGCAGGCATGGATCCTGTTTGTGGGCTGCCTCCCAAGACATGAAGTTCAGGTCAAGAAGTAACTCAGAAACTACGATTTCTCTGACTTAGCGTTGCTGGTCAGATGAGCCCACGAGAACCGAGCAGGGGTCTGGTGAATCGGATGGTCGGCCGCTGAGCGGGGGCCACGCCTGTGTGTTCCCCACTGTACCCCGAGGCACTGCGTGGGGCTGCTGCACTGACTGCAGGCGCGGAATCGGAGTCTCCTTGCTGGGATGAGTTGAAATAGGTCAATGTCAGTGAAGTGGAGGCACGAAGTGTCCATTCTGCGTAGTGTGGCTCGGCCAGTGCCCCCTTGGCTGGGCATCCTCAAGAAAATACACTTTAACTCAGAAGCCTCACTAGCTACCAAGCGGCTTTATTGTGACGATCTCAGTAACCAATCCATACACCCTGAGGCATTCTGACTTTAAGCCTTTTGACCCCAGGCCCTTCAGAGCACCCCATGGCCTTGTCCTTCAGGGGCACGCTTAGCCCTGTTACTTCCACTACAACCGATAGCACAGCTGGGTTCCTAAGTTCTGGTTCAGTGGGTTAAATAGTGTCTCCCAAAACTGCTGTCCACCCAGAACCCCCAAATTTTTCCTTATATGGAATAAAATGAAGAAAAAACCCCTTTGCAGATATAACTAGTTAAGACTCACAAGGAAAGATCATCTTGGATTTAGGGCGGGCCTGTGGGCCACTGACCAGTGTCCTTTTAAGAAGAGGAGAGGACACACAGAGACACAGAGAAGCAGGGGTGTGGCCATGGGGCACAGGTGGGGGCGAGGCAGCCCCAGGCCGCGGACCACCCTGGATGGCGTGGGGCCAGCAGAAGCTAGGAAGAGGCCAGGGGGATCCTGCCAAGCCTTCGGAGAGGCACGGCTCTGAGGACACCGCGGCTCAGACGTCCAGCCTCCAGCAGTGAGAGAATACATTTCTGTTGTCTCCAGTTGCCAGGTTTGTGGGTATCTGAGAGGCGGTCCCAGGAAAGCGATACCTCTGGCTTTGAGGGGCTTCCTCCATGGGGACAGCACCATCGGCCTTCTGGGCCTGCCTGAATGAGGTGTGATCCCTGCAGGCCCCTCGGTTTTCCTCACTCTGCCAGCCCTGTGTGACCCCTCCACACTGTCACCGGGACAACACCATGCAGGGCTGGCTTCCTGCGGGGCTGAGGGGCTGCCCCGCAAACCGGGAGATGGGGGCCACGGAGGTGGGGGCAGGGCTGTCGCCAGAGGGGAGGAAAGGGCAGCACGGAGTGCAAAGGGTTTAAGGCGTCCTTGTTCCCCAGCCTCCCTTCCACCGACTGCTCTGAGGTACCCCCTCTCCTTGCAAACATTCCAGACACGCCCGGACCCCCAAGAACGTGTCGACAGGCCTCGGCCCTTCCCCCCACCCACCCATTCTGCCCAGTCAGAGCCTCAGCATTCCCATCCTGGTCTCAGGCTCCCTGGGAGGAAGTGTGGCAGAACTCGAGCAAGTTAACTAACGCATGTCTCTGTACCTCAGTTTCCCCTCTGTGAAATGGGAAAATTAAGTTTCTCCCTCATTCAGTCAGTGAGAAATAAGTCAACACATGTAAAGCGCAGGATGGAATCAGGCACAAAATAATGGCTGATGATGTTAACTGTTACGGGGCATAAGGAGATTTTGATTTTGATACCAAATACTAGTAAGAATTCTCTATTAAATGCCACTCCTTTAGGAACAAGATGTAAGTATCTTACTTTAAAGAGATCAGCCAAAAAAAAGGGAAAAAACAGAAAATAGAAAAAATTAAAAAACAGCATGCAGGGAAGACATGTTTGTGGAAACGGGCCCAAGAGAGCAAATATTGTTTGTACTCTGTCTCAG